ATATATATATATATATATATATATATATATATATATATATATATATATATATATATATATATATATATATATATATACAATAGATACATCACAACTATTCACACGCGATACTTTAAATTTGATTTAGTAACAAAAAGATATTTTGGGCTTTGGGCTTAGGTTGTAAGCTCAGTTATAAATAGAGGGAGTAACCCCTATTTTTTTAAGCAAGTTGTATTCACAGAATTTGCAGTTGTAAGTGAATAACAAAGTTTTCACAGTTTGTGAGAGAGAAACTCTGCAGAAATTATTTATCTTGTCTTCTTTTCTTTGTTTGTCTCATAATTAAATTGTCATTGTGGTAGAAATTCATCATAGACTTTGGTGTATTTCCAATATCTGGTATGAAGAGCTTTTGTTTCGATTCAAGGGAAGTATCAATCAAGAACGATTAAAGAGTTCACGATGAGAAGTTATGGGAATGCAAACTATCTAGCAACGCTACCAATTCTGAAAGTTGACAATTATGAGAATTGGTGCAAACAGATGAAAGTCTTATTCAGGTGTCAAGGTCTTTGGGACCTTGTAAAATATGGAGTCGAAGCGCTTGGAGAAAACGCTTCAGAAGAAGAAAAGAAGAAATACACAGAATCTGAGAAGTTGAGTTATAAAGCATTATTTATAATTCATCAATGTGTCAGCCAAGACAATTTTGAAAAGGTTAGTGATTCAGAATCTGCAAAAGAAGCTTGGGAAATCCTTGAGAAGTCTTTTTGAGGCGCTGAGAAGGTGAAAGAAGTGAGATTACAAACTCACAAAAGGACGTATGAACTGCTTCAGATGGAAGACAGTGAAAGCATATCTGATTTCTTCACTAGAGTTACAAAACTAGTAAATCAAATCAAGATATGTGGAGAAGCGTTAACAACAAGAGTTGTTGTTTCGAAGATCTTGAGATCTTTAGCTCCTAAGTTCGACCATATAGTGGTGGCGATAGAAGAGGGGAAAGACTTATCGAAATTGACAAAGGAAGAGCTTCAAGGAACGCTTGAATCTCATGAACAAAGAATGAACGAAAGAGCTGCAGGCAAATCGAAGAGTGATGGGACCCTGCATGCACATTCATCAAAAGAGACCAAAGGCAAAGGAAAGTGTTTCAACAAAGGTAGATATGGCTACAACAAATCCAATGGTAGAGGAAACCAGATCAAAGGAAACGTGTCAAATCAAAGAAAACCATACCAAGGCAACCAAAGAGGTGGTGTTGCAAATAGAGGAAGAGGTGGTGGTCGAACACTTGATAAGAGTCACATTCAATGTTACAATTGTCCGAAGTATGGTCATTATTCGAGTGATTGTCCAGAAAAACGAAAGAATCAAGAAAGTGATGCAAAGCTTGCAAAACATGAAGAAGAAGAAGAAGAGATGATGTTGATGGTCACAACAAAAGATGAAGATAGTTTCAAGGACCAATGGTACTTGGACTCAGGATGTTCATCACATATGTCTGGAAGGAAAGACTGGTTTGTCAATATAAAGCCCTCAATGAAAAATATGGTTAAATTTGCAAATGACAATACCCTAGAAGCTGAAGGTATTGGCGATGTTATGATTATGAGGAAAGATGACAAGAGGTCAGTAATTTCTAATGTGTTGTACATATCAGGCATGAAGAGCAATTTGCTCAGTCTAGGGCAGTTGATCGAAAAGAATTATAAAGTGTCAATCGAAGATAAGATGATGAGAGTCGTTGATGCAAATGGGAGATTGATCTTGAAGGCTCCTATGTCTCATAATCAAACCTTCAAAATTGAACTAAATGTGATGGAGCACAAGTGCCTTTCGACTGCATCTAGAAGAGATGAATGGATATGGCATTATAGACTAGGCCATCTCAACTTCAGAGACATAAGAGATTTGAAGAGAAGAAGTATGGTTTCAAGATTTCCAGAAATCGACATTCCAAATGAGGTATGTGAGGAATGTGTGCAGGTGAAGTAACACAAGAATAACTTCAACAAGGATGCAGGTCGAAGGTTAGTCTTGAAGTCATATACTCTGATGTATGTGGACCAATCCAGGTGGATTCGATGGGAGGTAACAAATATTTTGTTACATTCATAGATGATTTCAGTCGAAAGCTGTGGACTTATCTGATCAAGAAGAAAAGTGAAGTGATCGAAGTATTTTCCAAGTTTAAGTCTATGATCGAAAGACAGAGTGGTCAAAAGCTCAAAGTTTTGAGAACTAATGGTGGTGGAGAATATGTGTCGAAAGACTTCGACATATTATGTGAAAAGGAAGGGATTGTGCACGAGGTGGTGCCACCTTATACTCCACAACAAAATGGAATTGCAGAAAGGAAGAATCGAACCATCATGAATATGGTGAGAAGTATGTTGAAAGGCAAGAATTTACCTAAAGAGTTTTAGGGTGAATCTGTTTCGACTGCAACATACATTTTGAACAGATGTCCTACAAAGAAGCTAGAAGGAATTACTCCAGAAGAATGTTGGTCTAGTGTGAAGCCTAGCTTGAGTCATCTGAAGGTATTTGGATCTATTGCACATAGACATGTGCCAGATCAGTTGAGAAGAAAACTTGATGACGAGTCAAGTCAAATGATTCTAGTTGGATATCATTCGATAGGAGGCTACAAGTTATTTGATCCAGTGAAAAAACAGATTGTGATAAGCATGGACATGATCATAGATGAGTTTAAAGAATGGGATTGGACTGAAAATGTCAAGAAAGATTCAGTGGGAATCCTTCTTGAAGAGCCAAAAACTCAAGTCAAAAGAGAAGTTCGACAAGAGGAACCAACAGATATACCAAGTACAAGAAGGCCTCAAAGAACAAGACGCATGCCTGCAAGATTGCAAGATTGTGTGATTACATCAGATGATGTAATAGATAATGAAGGTGAGCTGGTACATTATGCTTTCTATGCAGATGTCGAACCTGTTAATGCAGCTGAAGTATTAAAGGATTCAAAGTGGGTGAAAGCAATGAATGAAGAAGTAAAGTCTATCGAAGACAACAACACTTGGTCACTTGTCGAATTTCCTCAAGGAAAGAAGGCAATTGATGTCAAGTGGGTATACAAAGTGAAAACGAATTCGAAAGGTGAAGTAACTCGACACAAAGAAAGACTTGTGACGAAAGGATTTCTACAGAAAGAAGGAATAGACTTCAATGAAGTTTTTACACCTGTTGCTAGGATCGAAACAATCAGGTTGGTTGTTGGTCTAGCAGAAATAAATAGTTGGCACATATGTCAGATGGACGTGAAGTGTGCATTCCTAAATGACCCTTAGATGAAGAAGTTTATGTTAAACAACCAGTTGGGTTTGTGAATCATGACGAAGAAAGAAAGGTGTACAGGCTGCATAAAGCCTTTTATGGATTGAAACAAGCTCCAAGAGCTTGGAATAAGAAAATTGATAGTTTCCTAAGGGAGAAGGAATTTGTAAAGTGCACAACTGAACATGGAGTATATGTAAGAAGAAGTAATAGTGAATTGCTTATACTATGTCTCTATGTAGATGATTTGTTGATAACATGTAGCTGTAAAAGTGAGATCGAAGACTTCAAAGGTGATCTCAGCAAGAAATTCAAAATGTCTGATTTGGGTGAGATTTCATATTTCCTTGGCATCAAATTCTACAAGAGCAGTAGAGGTTTGATGATGCATTAAAGAAGATATACAGCAAAAATTCTCAAGAGATTTGAGATGGAAGAATGCAACCCAACTTCGACACCTGCAGAACCAAGACTGCAACTGTCGAAAGATGTAGATGAAGATAATGTTGATCCAACCCATTACAGAAGACTTATTAGATCATTGAGATACCTTTGTCATACAAGGCCTGACTTAGCATATAGTGTAGGTATGGTAAGTAGATTCATGCAGAAGCCAAATGTATCACATCTAGCAGTAGTGAAGAGGATACTAAGGTATCTCAAAGGAACTTTCAATTATGACATTTTGTTTCCTGTAGCTGATAAAGGAAAAGAATGCAAATTAGTGGGATACACTGATTCAAGTTGGTGTAGTGATGCTGAAAATCGAAAGTCAACAGCAGGATATGTGTTTATGCTAGGTGGTGCACCAGTTGCTTGGAATTCAAGAAAGGAACCAGTAGTGACATTATCATCATGCGAAGCAGAATACATAGTTGCTTCTCTTTGTGCATGTCAAACAACTTGGATGGTGAACTTGATCGAAGAGATAATAGGGAAAGATCATGGAGCAATTACCATGAAGATCGACAACATGTCAACTATCAATCTGGCGAAGAACCCAATAGCACGTGGTCAAAGTAAGCACATCAAAATGAGGTTCCATTATCTTCGAGAGCAGGTAGCAGATAGGAAGATGAATTTGGAACACTGCAGAACTGAGAATCAGATTCCAGACATCATGACCAAGGGAGTGCAAGTCGAAGTATTCAGAAGACTAAGAGCCATGATGAACATATATAGTTTAGACACAATGAATTAGGTGGTGTGTTAAATTGCAATCCAGTGTGTCGAAACTATGTGTCAAAAAGATTTGATTTGTTTTAGATTTAAATAGATTTGATTTAAGTCTAGAATAAATTAGATTTGATTTAGTAAAAAAAATATTTTGAGCTTTGGGCTTAGGGTGTAAGCTCAGTTATAAATAGAGGGAGTAACCCCTATTTTTGTAAGCAAGTCAAGCAAGTTGTATTCACAGAATTTGCAGTTACAAGTGAATAACAAAATTTTTACAGTTTGTGAGCAGAGAGAAACTCTGCAGAAATTATTTGTCTTGTCTTTTTTTCTTTGTTTATCTCATAATTAAATTGTTATTATGGTAGATATTCATAGACTATAAAAGTAAAGCATTTGTGCAAGTTAGAGTGAGTTGTGACCACACTTCCTACTTCTTCTTTTCACTATGCACAAGACGTGTTCTCCTTCTAGTCTTATTTGTTATCTTTAAACATCTCTTCAAAATCTACCAACTTCCACACACACACACATAATTTACGGTTATGGCTTCAATTTTGTCCTTTTCCGTTTCTTCTCTTCCTCTCCCAAAATCTCAATCTCAGGTACTTTCACTCTTCTTCCATTTTCACTTTCATCTCCAATTTACACATTCATTCCATTTCAAAAACCAATTATTATTATCATTCCTTTCAGGATCCCGATTCTTCTTGCTCCGGTGAGTTTTCATATTTAACGCTTTTTTTTTTTTAAATTTATTTATTTGTTTTTCTTCTTCTGGTTTTGTAACTGTTTTTTCAGGTAAAAGTAACGATAAGAGTGGTGGTTGTTGTTTCCCGCCATCGTTTGAACGGAGGAAGCTGATTCTCTCTTCCGTTGCTGTTATTGCTGGAAGCTTTTGTAATGGCGGAATTTCTCTTGCGTCTGAATTTGCCGACAGTAATTTTCTCTATAAATAAACTTAAACTTTTCAGATTTTTATTATACCTTTGCTGAGCGAACATTTTTTAGTGCTTGGTAGATATTAAAGATCAATTTTTTTTTTCCTTAAACGAGCTTATGAAAATAACTATAACTTATACGAAATAATTTATCTTTTAAGTAGTATTTTTTGGAAATTGTTTAGTATAGTAGAGTATTTGTCTATACTGGAACTATACAACAACAGTCAAACTTATCCATTAAGTAGAATCAGCTACACGGATCAAATTCTGCCTTAATATTCTATTTAAAATCATGTTTCTATTCAATTTTTTAATCCTGAGATCTTTTTTAATAATTTCTCTTATAATTTTTTTAGATTTTCCTTTTTCTCTAGTTGTTTGACTCCTCACTTTCTGATTTAGTTTCCTTACAACATAATATACAGGTTCTCTCTACATGCCCAAACCACCAAAGTCTATTTTGCACTATCTTTTATATAATAAGTGTTATCTTAATATTCTCTCTAATATTGTTGTTTCTAATCTTATTTCGTTTTAGTCTTACCACACATCCAACGAACATCCTCATCTGCTACACTTTATTCTCATGTTGATTTTTATCTGCCTAACATTCGACCCCGTACAACATCGTAGGTCTTATCTATGTCTGATAAATTTTTTCCTTCAACTTGAACGGTACTTTATGTCACATAAAACCCATGAGACTCTATTTTAGCCACCCAGCTTGAATTCGGTGATTTACATCCTCATCTATTTCTCCATTGTTTTATATTACGAACCTAAGATATTCAAACCGCGTGATTTGTGGGATGATATCGCCTCCAACTTTCCCCTCTAGGTTACAAACGCTTTTCCTTTTGCTGAAATTACATTCCACATACTCCGTCTTACTTATGCTCAGTTGAAAACCATGCGTTTCTAAGTCTAGTCTCAAAGTCTCAAATCTCTTATTATCCTCCTTCGACTCTCTAAATAGGACTATATAAAAACATACATCTCGGTGTTAGTTCTTGGATAAAGATAAAATTAATCATGTTAGTTATATATTAGATTTCTAAATACTAATAAAAAGCTAAAAGAACCAAAGATATGGAACGGAGGGATTACTATTTATCAATGTCTATGAGGTATCAGCTATGTGGCAATGCGAGTTTGACCTTGTTAGTTGTAGCTTCAAGAGATAAGTTCAAATCTCCTTTTGAGACAATTGTAACTATGGCAATCCTTAATATATTAAAACAGAATACACAATTAGGCACCAAATTTTGAGTAGAATCCCGCCTAAACAGTTTTTAATCGCACGTGCATCGCACAGGGTGAAAGTAATAGTTATATATAACAGTAAAACACAGTTCTGAAGAAGGCCATAGTCTGTTTGTTAAACTATGTTTGTATGGTTGAAACTGAAAGTAGGAGATTGATTATGTTATGCATGTTGTGAGCAAGTAATGCAGTTGCGTCTTTACTGATGATTAAATTTAGGCTAATTTGTGTTTGTTTTATCACGCACATGATGTTATTTTGCTACATAGTATATAAAATAAGAAAAAGAAAACTACAAAGACTTTCAATATGATGCATAATCCGTGCATTTACATACAGTGCCTGCGCTTAGAGGGAAGGATTATGGTAAAACAAAAATGCGATACCCAGATTACGTAGAAACTGAATCTGGACTACAATATAAGGTGATGCAGCATGTTGTAAAATGCAAATGTTTTATGGTTAAGCAAGCTTTGTTTTTAATTAGTTGTATACAAAAAAACTGCAGGACTTGCGACCAGGGAATGGCCCTAAACCGAAGAAAGGAGAGATAGTAGTGGTGAGATTCTGAATTGTTTTTGCCTTTGATTTTCTTGTCAATTGGTTCGAAGTCTGATATTTTGTTTTGCATCAATAATCTGTATATCTTGATGTACAGGTTCTGAATCAAAATGAAAATTATGTCTCAATTTTTCTTTTATGCTCTAGAATCTACATAGAAAATTTTCTAGGTTTTCTGGAAAATTTTGAGTTGGATATAGATTTGACAACTTAAGAAAATTAAAGTAGCCTGTTTTCTTGTCGGAACTCTTTTTAGACAATTTTGTTTTCTCTTCAAATTAGATTATTGAAGCAATTTATGAGCTTCAAATTCTGTTCAGGTAGACTGGGATGGCTACACCATAGGTTATTATGGTCGCATATTTGAAGCCCGGAATAAAACGAAAGGTGGTTCCTTTGAGGTATGAAATTCTTTGTATCATCTTTTCAGACATGGTGGGCGTAGTTGATTATTACATAATTGTTTAGTTGTTTTTCTAACATGCAGGGCGATGATAAGGCCTTTTTCAAATTCAGAATAGGATCTCAAGAGGTGAGAGACCTCATTATGTAATGATTGATATAGTTCCTTGCAACTTCAATAGTATATCTTTGCTTTAGGTAGTGAACATTATTTTATGAACAATGCTTACAAGTTACGACCAAGCGATATTGAAGACAATAGGGTTGAAAAAGCATAAGTCCTACTTTTTCATACTTTGAGTTACTATAGGATATAATTTTATTTATTTTCTTATTTGCACATCGTCTTTTCCCTGGCCAAAAGGTGTTACTGTGGATTTGATACAACAAATTTCATCATTAATGTTAGTTCACTAAACTTGTTGGATGTTAAGACCATATTAAGCACTCAAAGTATGCCATAATTTCTGAAGTCTCCATCACTTACTTTTAAGCTCGATTTCTCATGTATTTATAATTTCAGGTAATACCAGCTTTTGAAGAGGCTGTTTCAGGCATGTCTCTTGGAGGCGTTCGAAGGTGCTGCGTCTATATTTCTAAAGAATTTGACATTTAGTATGCATGCGATGTGTTATGTGCACCTTACATATTAGTATAGCACCCTGCATATCACACCGACAGAAAATATTATTTTACTGAATAGAATATTATTGTAGAATATTATCATTGAAAACTAAGGCAGATGTATTTTTGGGATCATATGACGTGAAGAGATTGAACGGGAGAGAGATGCAAATTTCATTATGTTTATCAGTGATGCAGGATAATTGTGCCTCCAGAACTTGGATATCCTGAGAATGATTATAATAAAAGTGGCCCAAGACCTATGACATTCTCGGTAAGACTTGAGTCTCTTCGTGTTCAGCAAATTTGTGAATCAAGTCTGAGAGATGCAATGTAAATTTTCTTAACAGGGCCAACGAGCTTTGGATTTTGTTCTAAAGAATCAAGGGCTGATAGACAAGACTCTCTTGTTTGATATTGAGCTAATGAAGATTATTCGAAACTGATTCGTCAAATTCTGTGTTCACCCTTGAATACCACCACCAAAACATTGAGGTCAGTTTCTTCGTCATTGCTCGTCAGTATTTTCATTAGCATATTTGTGAGTATTTTCTGATAATTTTCTCCTTGGTGATGAAAGATCATGATCACCATCTCTTGATTGCAGTTTGAAACCGGAGGAGTGTAACATTGGTGCTGTAATGCAAGAGAGTGTAGAAAAGAATTGCATGCCACTGCAATGTAACAACTGTTGTGGCTAACTGTAATGAATTGTTTATCATGTCCCCACACTTTGAACTATACCCCCCCTACATTTATGAATAAAATTACAAAGTAACCGTAATTATTTTTTTTATTATAAAAAAAGGTACATTTTTTGTTTGAGAACTGTGAACAGTAATTTGAAATTTATTGTACCCAGAAATTTTGACTCTACAGTATATATTTTCGTTCAACTTCAAAGATTCTTGAAAATACAAAAGATGAGAGTGTTGTGTTATAATTCTTTTTGAAGGTTTCTATTTTTATTCTGAAAGTTTATAAGTAACAGTAACGGTTTATTGAGTTGCAACTTTGGTCTGAAAGTTTATAATTCTCACTTTATTGAGTTGTATTTTTGGTCTCAAAGTTTATGACTAATTTTATGTTGACTTGTAACATTAGTCTAAAAGTTTGTAACTAACTTTATATTGAGTTGTAGCTTTAGTCTAAAAATTTGTAACTAATTGTTTGTTAAAAGTTAGTTAGTAGATCATTACTTTCTAACACCCACATATAATATAATCTATAATACATTATAATATTGGCATTGATACGATCATAAATGCTATTGGCAACATTATACATACAAGTCCAAAATGATGATAATACATAAATGGCAAGTGATATATAAAGGTGTCTAGACAAAACTAGGATCTAAAAGAACATAATTCAAAGATTCTCAAAATGCCAGCAGAAGAACATCCAAAATGATCAAGTCGTCAAACATCATCACACAAGTTTGTCATTGTTTTTCACCTGCAAAGAATTACCTGAAAAACAATAATAATAGTGGAATGAGATAATAATATCATTGAGTTTCTCTATCTTATGAGTTCACTCGATTCTAAAGGAATTACATACAATCACTCAACTCTCCTTGATTAATCCTTACGGGATCTTATGATCTATGGGTATTAGGGAACAAACGTTGTATCATGAGAGAATGCTATAACGATCTCTGCTTATTACGGCCGATGTGCACCATCTCTAGCCACTAAGGCTTATTGTTACACTTACGGGCTAAATATGTGATCAACCATTCTCTACGCGTATTAAATTCAGATTAATTTAGCCTCGAGTCTAATACTAATCCTATAGTATTCTCACAACTTTCCATTTTATTCACAAGTACACAACATAATTAATCGGTGTATTAATTACATTACATCAATCCGGTACTCTTACTAGTACCAATGTATCTTTACAACTCCTAAGTAGAAGCAAGATACTCGCATCAACCATAACCCTTATGATATGAACTTAGTCTCACTACTAATTACGCCTTCTCAGTTGGACTTAGCAAATGAAATACTATCACCAATTACGACCCTTCCAATTTGAATTTAGTATGTATGCTAATTACGGCTCCAAATGGTTGAATTAGTATGTCATTAGGTCTGTACCGATCACGGTTCACAAAGCCCACACAATATATTCATCATCATTCCATGCATGCACATTACATGTGAAACTCATACAATTAGTTTACAATTAACATTCAATAAAACAAGCATGGGTTCTCTCTACCAAAAGGTAGCTTAGAAGACAATCTTTCTAATTTATTCGACCTCGCATCAATCATGTTGAGAATCAAGTGTGAGGAAGAAGTCTCACATTAATTATAAAAGGGAAGATTGAGCACTTATAAGTGAGAGAATCCACTCATCTATTACCTTAAGGTTTTAGATGGACAAGTGGTATCTCTCTCACAAAGGTGTGTCCCAAGTAAAATGCTCCTTCCTCGGAATTGCCCCTACAGTGGTATCATGAGCCTTTGATTTCGAGATAGGGACCGACTTACTTGTATCAAGCGGTGGTACAAGTGTATGTGGAAGAGAGTCATTCCACATGAGGGGGAGCATTGTGACTCACACTTGAGGGGGAGTGTTGAGAATCAAGTGTGAGGAAGAAGTCTCACATTGATTATAAAAGGGAAGATTGAGCACTTATAAGTGAGAGAACCCACTCATCTATTACCTTAAGGTTTTAGATGGACAAGTGGTATCTCTCTCACAAAGGTGTGTCCCAAGTAAAATGCTCCTTCCTCAAAATTGTCCCTACAAATCAGAGCTACGAATCCCGTTCTATGGTGGAAACAGGAAATAATACATTTTCCTTCTCGCTTAGCAAAGCCTAGCGAGGCGCTTTAGCGAAGTCCCGCTTAGCGAGCAAGCGGCGAGCTCCTAGTGAGCGATTACAAAATGCCAATTTTCATAAAATTTCACTATCTCGCTTAGCGATACCATCTCTCGCTTTGCGAGGATGACATGTCTCATAAGTTCTGGGCAACATGAATGCTTGCTTAACGAGCTCATTCTCGCTTAGTGAGTATGACAACGTTCAACCAAATAGAGACTTATCTAGAAGGGGAAAACAATAAAAAATTCATCATATATCATCTTAATGCATCTAATAACACAAAATAAAACTGTTTATCACAATAAAACATATAAAGCATCAAGAACATCAAGTATGACACTGCATATTTTCACACAAATCCTAGTTTCCAAAAGCATGGATTTTCTTCCCAAAGTTATAACTATCTAGAAACCCACCTCTACCAAGTGAAAATGATGATGGATTGAGTTGGGTTCTGAAGATCCAAGCCTTTATATTTGATTCCAAGTTTTTCTTCTTTTCTCTTCTTTCTCTCATTCTTTCTCTTCTTTCTTTTTCTTCCTCTTACTAACAATAGGTAGTGGAATGACAAGAGATATGTATGAGAAAAGCTAGGGAAAGTAACTTGTCTCTAGTGACAAGTATCCCAAAATTATGTTACCAACATAATACTCTTTCACTAATTAGCAAGTATTAAGCTAATTGAGTAAGAATTAGTCTTTTGAGTTCATTAATTACTCTATTTATTCCAACTGATAACAACTGATAACTAATAGAGCACTTATGAACTCATTTTGTCCTAATTGACAATAAAAGAGTATCAAAGAGGATATAGGGTATTACATACTTATCCTAGTTAGAGTTTGTTGCAAATTTTGCTATACAAGTTATGTTTATGACTTGAGTTTGTTAAAGTCTTTCTTGTATATACCTTAGATCAATCAATTCAAATGATTTCAATTATCAATAAATTATTTTATCTTGTTTCGCTTAGTCTAATCTTCAATGGTGAGCTACTAAAAAATTCGTTAGGTTTCTCACTATTTTGAAAATTAATATACAAAGTTTTTGGTACAATAGATAATCAAGACAACAGTGAACACTTCAAGCCAATTAATGCTTAAGCCTACACATGTCTAAATTTGGATTTCTCTTATGTTATAGAAGAACACTCAAACTCTTGAATTCATAAGATCTTCACTTGATCTTGAATCAAATGTATTGTTAGACTCAAAGTTCCGCTCCAAGAATATGTTTCACAGAGGTCTTCATTTGACTCTACCTGTTACTTGTATGAGCCATTATTCTACTCAAGGATCTTGAAAATTCCCAACTTCGTTCCGTGGCTACCTTCATTCTTCACTATCAAAGTCTTCAATCAAGTGAAAAAATATTTTCTTACTCGAAGTCAATATCCAAGAACCATCATCATAATATCAACTCTTAAATCTGATACACACAAAATACTTCATATAAAATAATAGATCCCAAATGTACCTTGTATCTACTACTCACACTCAATCTTTAGAGTTGAGTATCCCAACAATGAAGTTTTCTTAATACAAGGTTAAAGATGATTAACTATTGTTCTGGACTGGCTCGACATTCAGAGTAGACCTAGTCTAGTCTCTCCCTCTGGTGTGGCCTGTTGGGCACCATCAATTGTTTACCCTCCTGAACTGGTACTAGCCCACTGTAATCAACGAGAAACTCTCAGTCTGTCCGACACCAAGTCGCCCAAACAACCAAAGATCGACCAGACCGCTGCACGTAACCTACCTTCTCCTTAGAACCAACGGCTAGTTACAGACACACTTGTTCGGTATGACCAAGTCCTGGAAGTTACCTATTTTCATGGGTCTGCATATCTAGGCCTAAAAATAAGAACCAATGGCCATTCTCCAGGGGAATTATATATACCCTCACACATGTTAGGGTTAGATATCGAATATTCACTATTCACCACTAAAACCCTAATATTTTACTTGTATCTCTCTGCTCCCACACTTACTTGATCGTCAAAGTGTCTTATAGGTAGAACCCCCTTTTCTCCTCCTCGACGTTCCAGTCTGACAGAAGATTGTCATTCGGCCACCTTGTAGGTTCTGATCAATCGGTAAGATCAGTGGTGCCGTCTGTGGGTATCTATCTTCCCCATTTTCTATTCCTCATAATCTGAAAACTAAAGATCTTCTCCATTCAACAATCATGGCTGACCGTGACGATCATCATCCATCTGGAATGGCTCCACTTTCCCTGACGCACAAGACTGACGGAGGTCAGGAACATCCTCACCTCAAGGATTATTTCGACCTCCGTGACGGTCGAACTGTGTCCCTTGATTCCGTTGATACCCAGTGCGACGACCAACAATTCTTGGACAGACAGCGTCCTAAGATCCCCATTAAGGAACTGCCAGAGATCCTACAACCAGTTCTCATCCATCACAGCGCCGACTCGGACATCACAACATTTCTCTCTACCATTAACCAAACCAACGGCCTTATCTTGCAACAGAATAAAAAGATAGGGGCCTGAGAACAAAAGCGGTCGAAATCTCCTCCTCGGAGAACCCGACGATGACATTACACCAACATATCTCCACCAAAGCACGACCTTCCATCGA